GTTTGGGGCATCATTTATTTAAAATACTTCAAGCTCCTTGCTGGCAGAGCAACAGCGAATTAGCATGCTATGTTGTGCACTTCAATTAAAAAGCAGCCTCATCTTTCCTATTTCCAAGGTACAGCAGAGCAAATTTAATTGTTCCATGCAGCCAGTTCTCATCTTTGCAGAGTAACCAGGGCTTCTGAGTTTTTTTGCTTTTTGTTTTTAACAGATTTGTCATCTTCTGAATGAGGCAATGTGGGCTTTTATGAAACTTGCCTCCTAATTGCAGGCAATAAACATGAACACAGCCAGCAGCAGAGGCTGTAGCAAGTACAGTTTAAGTAAAATGAAAATAAAGGTAAGAAAAGAACCACAAAGCAAGTTCATTTTACATATGATCTGAATATTTAAAACGCCAGGATCTGGATTTCAGTGTTCGCGAGAGACACATGCATGCCTCCTTCAATATAAACTAAAAAAAGCAAACAATTCCCCAAACCTATAGCTTAAATGCTGAGATAGGCAAAGATTTTTTATATTTTGGAGGCTAGAAGGTATGACTAATTAATGAGAAATATCTATAAGCCAGGATGTTATTAACTTTTAAAATATTTGCTTATAGCATAAAGAATATCTGGTTTTGAACTTAGGCTGAGATCTCTGAATGTGAGATTTGGTTTTCTGTAAAAGTATAGAAGCATCCCCTGTGCTTTGGAAATTTAACTGATGTGTTGCTTTTGACTTGAGAGCTGGCTATCATACCGATCATCTCACCCCAAGTGAACAGGTGAGTCCTCATGCTTCCCTTTACCCACTTCTCATTTCCTATCCCTAGTACGAACAATGCAGTACCTTCGGATAGGAACTGAGCAGGGTGAATCCCCAGAAACGTTTGTCTGAATAGGCTTCTGGAGGGCAGATGGTCCAAGCTCCAGCTCTGAGGGGCACTAGTGCCAACACCAGTTGAGGTTGCCCTTTGCCTGCCTGAGCCCTGAAAACTCCAGAGATGGAGAGTACACAGCCCTGCTAGACAACATGTTCCTGTACTGCATCACCTCCTTGGCGAATTATTTTCCTGATGCCCAACCTGAAACATTCAGCCTATGAGTTGTGGCCATTGCTCCGTGCTGTATCATCTGATACTACGAAGAATCATCTTTCCCTCTTTGTAGCTACTCTTTCAGCATCTTTGTTATTACCTTTCAAGCAGCTGTAGGCTGCTCTTTTCTTCCCTCTGTTGTTTTTCACTCCCCATTAGGCCGAGGAGACTCACTGATATTGTTGAAGACTTTGGATAGCACTCATCCTAGTTGGCTTTATTCCAATGATTCTAGGAATATGCACATTACATTTACTAGACCTGGGGTTTCATCTAAACAACAAAGAATGACACCAAATTAAGCAGGAATGTAAAATAAAACCCAGATTATCAACTCAATTCAACTATTTATTCATTCTTGCCAGAGCAGCTGGAGCTGACTTTTGGACCAAAACCAAAAAGCCAAACACTTAAATTTGTTGGTTTCACATCACAGTAATGGTTCTGAATATTTAACACCGCTTTTTTGAAGGATAAGTAAAAAAAATATTAAAACATCTTAGCATGGTTTTCAGTGAAGAGACAAAAAGTGCACCACAAATACAACACAAGTTAGACATTGAACTGAGTGCTACCATCCCAGATGTTTGATCAATTTATTATTTTCATAATTTTATGCTGTAATTACTACAGTAATGAACTATAGTGGGAAAGCGATAGTGTCATTTTTTAATAATCTACTGTTCACCACATTGTCTTTATGTTTAATATTAAATGTTTTGTACACTTACGTTATCCCATTCGAAGAAAATTTGTGCATTAGTGCTGTGAAACCTAACGATGGAAATTCTATTACAATTTTTAATGATATCCAACTTTTATACAGTTGCAGATTGTTATGAACGAATACAAACCTTAACTTTATTATCATTAATCAGCATTAGTAAATATAATTGACATTTTATACAGAACCAGCTTTAAGTAACTTATTGGCAGCAATACAGATGCCTCTTAATATTACCCTCTGGCTAGCTATGCTGCCTGGGCGCCAGAGTGTCTGCACTAATGACTTGGAATTAAAATCAAATAAAAGTTGAGAACTGTAATTCGGTATAAAACAAACAGCCAGGCTTAGTACCAATTCTTTATATGTATATAATTTGGATATATTTGGAATTTTAAAAATTTACAGAGGATATAAAACAGTGGAAGTGTTTGAGTCTAGATAACAAAATGGGATGGAGAAAAAACAAATCTGATGTTCCCAGATTTCTACACTTACCCTTAGGCACACCGTAGGAATTGAAATGAGGAGAAAAAGTAGACAGTGTAATTAACCTTTCCTTTCCCTTTTTTTTTCTTAAACAACAAAAGAAAGGCAGAACATTTTAGATAATATAAATAGTAAAAAATACACATACTTGTTTTTCTGCCATTATTTTTCGTCTCAGCAATTTTTGTAGTTTCCTGAGGATTTAATGTGCTTAGGCATGAAAAGGGACCTAATCCTTAAAAAATTTTCCTATGAAGACATGGATTATGTTATCAAAAAGATTTAAGAAAACCTGCTTCACTGTAAAACCAGGAAAGCTGCTCTGTCTTTCAAAGCCTCATGCCCTGACTTCTAGATATCGAGTGGTGGGTTTTTTTCACAGCATATCTGAGCCCTCTCCTCCCCACACCACCTATATATGGCCTATCTGACTTCTGCTCTGGGGAAAAAAAATAAAATTAGGAGTAGAGCCAAAATACTTCCTTGTCTTATGATGGCGCCTCCAGGGGCCACCACACGTGGAAGCCCTCTGAAGGGCTACAGATAAATCGCATTGCACATACTGTTATTTTATCCAGTTTATCCTCACCCTTTGCTTTGATAAACTACATTTAAAGCCACTATAATTTAATTTTAGCTAACTCTGAGGAAGATCCTTGGGATCTGGCCCTCTAAAGATGGCTTGTTTTATTCATTTATTCGTCTAAAAGATTCTTTTCTGAGCTCTCATTTTGGTGAGACAGTTAAGAGAACACAAGAATATATTTAAGCAAGAGTAGTATACATTAAACATTCAAAAGAATATCCATATTGTATGGGGAAGAGAGAAATTTTATTATTATACAAACATATATGTATATATAATGTAATCTTCTGCTTGCTTTATGGATCTGATCTCCTCCAAGGAGAGTCACAAATCCACACGATAGCCCTGAGTGCTCAGATTTTGCATTTGGTTCTCTGATTTTACAATAGCTGAAAGATATGTAAAAACTCATGTAGCCAGACAGCTCCCTACTGACTACACATCTAAGCAACTTCACATGCATATATTATTCCAACCAGTGAAAGCTGGAAATAACATATGCCTTAAAAAAAAAAAAAAAGAAAAAAAAAAAAAAAGCATGCTTGAAAGGAGCACGTTTCAGCTTCTGTATGAAACCTTCGGGGCTCTCCCTGACCAAACCGCACCCTTCTACAGCGTGCTGCCATCGCAGGTGGGGATAGCCCAAACTATTGAGTTACATTCTGCAGTGAAGGGTGGGAATCGCTTCATGAACTTATAAAAAACCAGCTACTATAGCTCTTTGTTGTCGAATGCAATTCAGGGAAAAAAAATTAATAATAACTATTACCGCTGTGCTAGTTTGGCCTTGGAGGGTTTTTATAATTCCCTCCTGTTTTTAATCATAACTTCGGTAAATGACCACTGGCCTTGAAAAGCATCCAGATTATTTTCATTAAAAATAATAATCTATAGCATGGAAAAGACTGACATAATTTTGTTCACAGAAAATAACAAAATATCCCGTGCATTGTGCCTGACAGTATTGCTATGATAAAGCTACACCTGAAGTGTGCCCACAGTGGCATTGAAATGGTTACAGCTCCTATTGCCTCCCTAATAAAAGTTTTAGAAAGTTAAGGGTTTAGTTACCCAACCACACCTCAGTTCTGAAAAGTTTTCTGTTTAAGGAAGTGAGGATGCATTAAGATACCTACTAGCTCTCTCCAAGGGGATCAACTGAATAGTATGAGTCCATTTTAGAGCATGCAATCATGATTCCCGCTCTGCATCTCCCTCCTCTTCTTTTGCCCCTCTCCCAAAATGTAGTAAGATGGGAAATCGAACAGGCTTCAGACTTCTGAAACTTAGACGGTCAAAATCTAGAAAAATCTCTCCTGGTAGACTGTGAACCAAGATTTTTCGGAGACCTCCAAGCTCACTATATTTGGGCATGTTTCAGAGCCAAAACAAATTTCAAACCATGACCAAAACGTGCAAAAATCTTAAAACTTAAAAAGGATATTTATTAGTGTAAGAATTGGCTTTTGTGCATTTTTATTCTCTTTTCATGGGCAAAACAACATACATTCTCCTAACTGAAGTCACGGATATATTGATAAACTTTGCATCAGATTTCTACACGGAAGAGACATCAGGCACAAATAGTTCCAACCTAAACTGTGTAAACCATCACATCTATAGGTTACAGAACACGGGCTCTTATAAGAGAAGACGTTAACTGTAGGTGGCACTAACAGAATGTATGCCCTATTCTGATTCTAAAATACAGTTAGGCTCACATGCTAAAAATTGTGAAATGAAATGTGTGTATATCTCATGTCCTTCAAAACCATGATTGATATATGCAGTAGTCACCAGGTTGTGATCTAAAAGATATCTACAGGGCACTAAAATGGAAACCAACAAATTCTGTCCATGCACTTTTAGGGAATTACTTGTTTTCATCTTGTTCCTTGTCAAATACATAATGCATTTTTTGTTCTAAGCAAAACTAAGCATTTTGTATATTCTGTTTCTGTCTTTTTTGCTTTCAGCACTAAATATTTAAACACGTTCTACCCAAAAATCTCAAACTAGTAATCTGCTGCTTGTGTCTTCCCCTTGAGGTGTACCTATCAATGTGGTAGTGCAGGATTGCTGAAGAGACATGAAAGAGATTGTGGTTACAGTCCTACCTGCCCACAGGCCAGGCCCATGCCTCTCTCTCCCATACCATGAGGACATGATAAATTTAACTCCAGCGCATCAGCACCAGCAACCTATGAAACATGCAAAAGGAAAAAAAAATATGCAAAATTAACTTCAAGTAATGTACGCTTTCCTGTAGCACTTACTGTTCACGTTAAACAGATTTCTTTAGACATTTGCTTATTTATTTATTTATTTTAAAGACAGAAAGCTCTGCTTCTGATACCTTGAAAAAGAAATGTGTTGATTAGTACAGAGAAGAAATTCAAAAACTGATGTGGCTTCCCAAAATGACAAAGGAAATTAAAGTAAAAAATAAATTAAAAAGAGACAAGCACAATAAGGAGTTGGTTCTGGAAAATGTTTAAAAATGAAATGTAATTACAGGGCCTTAGGGCAGCACTGGGAGCGAGGTTTGGTAGTCAGTGTTACGCAGGTGCTTCTATGCTCTGAAGAACTGTGACTCAGTAGTAAATTTCTCCTTTCTGCTTTAATGAATTTAGTCTCTAAATTTTCTGCAAGCGCCTGTACTGTGCCATAGCTTTTGCCATTAAATATTTTTGTTTCCGAAGTCAAGCAAGAGAGTATTAAAAAAAATCGATACAAACATTATTCATGCTAATTTCTCTTCAGCACCCTCTATTAGCTACAATTACAAAGGCACAGGAGCCGAGGGGTACAAGGGCAGCACACAAACACACACCTCTCCCTCCCAGCTGCACTGTTTTGTTCTGCATTTGCCTTTTGTTTTTGCTTATTGAACTGGAGTAACTCTGCCTGCTGTGTGGCCACTGGTCAGCAGCTCCCCGAGCGTGTGAGCAGGGGAGAACCCATCCATCACTTTCAGGAATCCTCCATGTCCTGGCCAGCTCCGCGAGCCCGGCCATGCCGCGCTGATGCTGGTGCTGTCGGCCGCAGTGACAAGCTGACCTTTTGTATGAATAGGTCGTCCTCCTGCCGAGAGGCACTGCGGTACCTTCTGGGGCTTCTGCTCTGTGGAAAGCCACATCTATTACCTTCTAGGTAGGATCCTACGCATGCCATTAAATATCACGGCTCTTCAGTTCTGGATTCCAGAGCGCCCCAAACAAGTGTGATTCTCTCCACAGAGTAGAGACTAACAAGCACTTTGCGGAAGAAAGTTATATCGCATAGGTTACACACTATTGAGTGCATTTAAATACCTACTTTTTTCTAAAGGGGTAACATAAATACAAACATAGATTGGAAATATCTGACTTAAAGTTGGATAGCAGTAGTACTGGACTAAAAAAGAGAAGCAAATGGCACAATAAAGCCATTCATCTTTGTCAGTTTAAAAGTGGTACTGCTCCTGTCAAGCACGGATTCCACAAAAGATTTCATAGTCAATTAGGTAAATACAGGTATAAAATGGACTAGTGCTGAAGATCACCAACCTAATTACTGATAATGTTTCATTTTACTTCCCTAAGTCCCCAAAGTGATTCCCCCCCGCCCCCCATAGGTTTCAAATGCCTAAAGAAAAGAGAAGTGTCTTCCCACATCACCATAGGAGGGCTTAGGACACTGTGAATAAAGAAACAACGATGTCCAAACATACACGTTCAGCCATATGAAAACACAAATACAAAATATCCACACCCATATCTACACATATATAAAAAAAACCACCCAACTTATAAATCATTTAAATCTAAGCTGATGCTAGCAATTGTGACAAGCTAATTTTTTTTCTTTGATTAAATTTGCTAAAACCTTCCTTTATTGATCTGAAACTATTCCTTTTATCTTCTCTAGATCCTTTTGATGGAAAAAAAAGTTTTATTTAAAAAGAACAACTTTGTCTTACATTCAGATATAGACACCTTTTTGAATGAAATTATTGTGCTTTTAATCAAGTATTTCTTATACTATTCCCTATGAACACAGGTACATGTTTTTAAATAGATTTTTTCCTTCACATTGAATCGAAATTTCAGGTGCATAGTCTGTTTGCATTTGTGTAAGATTGGCTTTATATTATAGGAAGCCTGCTGACTGCTATTATATACCCTGGCTTTCTCTGCTATCATTTTTGAAAGTCTGTATTAAAACTAGAATAGCATTAAATGAGCCTTTTATACTTTAAATATTCACGAGTTTTATATTCAAAAATTCTTCTAGTGCTGTCAAACTAGTGTGCCTGTAGGCAAGGTAAGATCAAGTTAGGCTCTCAAAGGTAGAATTAAATTTTATCAGGGCATCCGTCATAATATACAGTTTGCTTAAAATGCAAATAAAAAGTATATAGATTCAAAGACTAAAGGCTTTCCAGGTACTGCTTAAAAATCCAAGGGACCATTTTTATGGAACAGATTTCCTTTAAATTTACATTTCCATCATTTTAATGAAAACACAGAATAAACAAATTATAATGGACATGCTTTAAATTCTCATTTTTCACTTTGAACCTATTTCTTTCAAGAAATTCCTTATTGCAGCTCTTGTTTTTAAGGAGAATAAAAAAAAAAGATACAGCAATACATTTAGAAAACCATTACCTCAGCCATTTTTGAAAGTTCAGTCCAGTCCTCCCTGCTATAGCTGCACATGATACTGGCAATCAGAATCTGAAAAAGAATAGACATGCAGTCATTTTAAGCCATGTTACCAGATTTTGTAATATAGTACTTTACGGTGACTCCAGAGATTAACTACCACTACCTGTATGTGGCAGCTACCAGCTGTATACTACTCGCATGTATAGTGAAATATAGCTGTGTATTTCACTGGGGATGAGAAATAGCATACAAAGTAATCTATTTTATCGCTGTTTTCTAAGTCATTAAGAAAGACCAGCAGGTCCAGTCAAACATGTAGGGGACTACGCATTCTCTTCGTCATGCGATAAAGTGAGAACAAAGGCTGTCCTAGACACAGAGCCCACCAGGAAAACTGTCAAATATATTTGTTTCTGAGCTCAGAGGAATTGAAGTTATTTACTATTTATACTATGCCAGAAGTACCTGGGGCTCTTTAGAGGTAGGTAAGACATAAGTGCAAGAGTTTACAGCCGAATATGGCAGCGTATGAACACAATACTCCAACTGACTTCAGGAAGCCAGGATACACCCAAACCAGCCCCATGGAACCTCATGCTATGCAAGTTAAGGACAGTGACAGGCAGCCGGGACCGTTTTGTGTAGACATCAACCGGGAGGAGACTCGTAGGATGTGGGGAAAATCCGGGAGGACTGGCAGAGCAGCACAGGGAAATTCCAGCTCTTGTTTTCCCACGATACACATTTTATTTCCTATTCGCTGGCTGTGGCCCCAGTTCCCCAAGAGCTGTTTCTGTGTATTGCCTCTCTTCCTCACTGCACTAAGCACCTTTTCAGGTCCAAGTTCTGCCTGGAGCTGCTGCTGCCTCTATCATCTTTATTGAGGTTCAAGTTTTCAGATAAAATAAGTTCTAATAGGATTCTTCCTGGATGGCAGCAAGACACACACCTTTCCAGTTGCATACAGTGCTATTTACTGTTAAATGAATGTTAACTACTCCTCCGATCAATGTCCAGTTCAAGTAACAATGTTAACTTCTATTTATGACTAAGCAAAACCACTTATTCCGGACCCATCAAAGACCATCAGACAGTGAAACTCTTAAGTTGATACATTCGTGGTGAGATCAGCAGAGAATTTAGCCCAAGTGCTCCTGCATGAAGGACTTCTTAGAAATATGATGCTTGCAAGAAAAATGCATCAGAGACCTATATTGCAGCAGCTAAAAGGTTAAATCAGAAAAAGAAATCACAGAACTTATGAACACACTACCGGCTCAGTCCGTATCCAAAGGAAACACCAGGAGACGAGAACAGAAAAACATCTGGGCACACTTTTCTTATTTGACTCTTTTATGTGAAACGTATGAAAGTTTCACATATAAGTTTGATTCACAGGTAAGAAGAAATTTGGTTTTAATCTTTTTTGCTTTGTAAACAAGTTTTACTGTCAGCATTAATATCTGGGATGAGCTTAATCTGTCACTCCCAGTCAGTACAACACTTCTTTTGAACTTTCCTATAATGCTGAGGGTTAATGACTCATTGGTTTAAGGCAAAATACTGAAAAGCATGGTATAGAAAAATTGTCCAACACACATAATTTTTGGAAACTGTAAACTCCCAAATTATCTCCATAAGAAGGATGAGATATTCAGTATCTTTAGAAGGGAGGGAAATATACTTTAAAAAGGAAGGCAGCTATGGAGAAAATTAGACATGGTGAGGTTACAATCTATTCATTTAAAAGGACAATACCTCTTATCATCATCATCATTTCCATTCTTTTGCTCTGATGAATCTCTACCTATCAATCTACCAGCCACCCACCTGACCCGCAGACTACCTACCCATCCACCTTTCTGGCTGATGTTTGCAAGACACGAGTCTTTTGAGAAGGAAAGCATTTGATGAAGTGCCTGCTTTGCCTGCAGGTGCCCATTTGTGTGCACCTCTGGCATAAATATAAGACCAAGCTTTTTATTAAATGCACACAAGCATTACTGGCCATGCTCTTATTCCTCTCTTGACAGAGGAAAAATCTCTCTCTCCTATACCATAATTTTTTCTATTGTGAAAAATTTTATATAGCACTATAGGTCAAATGTTTACAAAACAAAATTTGCTCTATGTTCTATTTGAATATGCAAGACAATTTGAGTACTCCAGAAATAAATACAAACCTCTTTAAAAAGACACTGTATTTTTAAAAACACAAATTGTGAAAAATCAGTTTAAGAAAATATATATGAGAAAAATTCAGAGTAAGAAACTAGTTAAAATATGCACTAACTGGAAGTTAGCTAGAAACCCTATCTTGTCAAATTCACGCTTTTTATAAACTAACTGAAGAAAAAAAAACCCACCCCAACTCAGACACTGACAACATGATAAGGATTTTCACAGTTGCAGTCACAATCCAAAGTATATCAGGAATCTACACAATTCAGCTTTAAAACAAAGCAAATTTTTCAGCAGGGAAAGTTGTAAGACAATAAGGGTGGCTGACTATATTCACAAGTAGCTGAGTTAGGTTATGTCAAGTGTTATTAATGAAATTTGAAAATTCTGCTGGGAGTGTATAAAAGAGGAGGAACAAGATCGGTGATGTTTCAAAGAGCTGTTAATTAAGACAACATGTTTATTTAACATTGATTAGTTTTAGCATTCATATTTAACATTAAGTACATACTTTTGACAGAAGTAGTGGTTTACAATAACAAAAATAACTGAAAGCAAAAATTACATTTCTGCCATGACTATTCAGATGAAACCCAAAATCTCAGAGGAAATAATAAAAATTTAAAAATAGTAGGGATTTTATTCTCCTTTTTTCCCCCAGTGTTCTCTTATAACTTGAAATTAAACTTAATTCATAGGCGGAGACAGATCCTCCAGCACTCCATGCTAACAAAACTGTCCTTCCTCAAGTGACTACTCTTCCCCAAAATGCCTCTATGGTCTTCTCATTTGGAATCAGTACTCATGGCAAAAAAAAAATAGTAATTATTGTATGTGGAAATTCAGGGGAACTATCTGCGATGTTTGAGGTTTGAATCTACTCCTAAAATCACAAGCAGGAATTTATAAAGAAAACATAGAATATTATCTCCTATTACCTAGAAAGAGAACAGCAAGAAAGAAGTAAGAATAACAAGTGATAAGAATCAGAGTTTTTATTGGAAAGTAATAAACAGAAATTGTATCACATCTCAGCCTCTTCTCACTATTTTAATTTTTTTTTTCCCCACTTCTTTGCTGCCTACGATGCCATGTACCCCATTACCACCCCTGCAACTTTAATAGCCCCAAAGAGTTGGTATCTCAGCACATGGCCCAGCCCAGGAGCATCCCTGGAGAGCTCATCCTTCCTCTTGACTCCTGAAATTTGCAGTGGCAACCTGACATGAGTTTAATTACAGTTGTTTGAACCACAAGTGCAAGGCCGCACTGCGCTTGTCCAGCTTACAAAAGGAGGCTACTGACAGATCTTACGATAAAGCTGCTGCTAAAGTGTAGTAAGTGGTAAATGAAAGTTGACTAAATTGCAGCTTTGTCATAGCTTGAGTGAGGGCTGCCAGCGAAACCGTGCATGACTGAAGCACAGTGGGACCCCTGGCCCATTCCTTCTTCCAGATCAGAAGCATAGCTGGCATATGCTGTTCCCTCTTCTTCATCCAAACTGCTCTTTTGCCTATTGTTGAGAGACCCTGTCTACTCCGCCCTGCGTCAAGGAGCACAGCAGCCCTGCAGACACTGCTCCCTCCCTGATGATCACCGTGACAGATGTGGCTAGACAAGGTCTTTACACCCCGACATTACACAAGGTGATAGACAATTTCTCCAAATGCCTATAAAGGGAGGAACACACGTTTGTACCATCAGACACTGTGTACAGGATTTTCTTGATCATTCCTGGGAGAAGGTCTACAATAAAACTTTTTTTTTGTTGGAGGGAGGGGAGATAGAAAAGGAAGGGTATATAATGTACCATTTAGGACATGATTATAAGATGAACATACTGTAGCTAAAGCACCTAGTAAAAAGCTACATTTCACACAATTCTGTAACTAATGCATTAGTAGTTGTTCTACTTAAAAGGACACTGACAAGGTACTTCTCATAATCCTTAAAATATTTTTTCTCCCTGTTTGTAATAATCCCCTGGAAGCTTAAACTAGAATCTATTTCCCTTGCGAATGTTTTTTTCTCTTCCATTATCTCTATGTGGATGCCTCATGAATGCAATAGCATCAAAAGAAATAAAAAGGATGAGGTTTGCCACTGTGTATGTTTTCAAGTGATCTTTCATCCCTAACACACGGAATTCACTGCAAGACATTGCAAAACAAACGGAAGAAGAAAAAGAAAAAAACTGGGCCTACTTTGGGTCAGACAATCCTGAGAACATCTATTTAAAGCCAGACAGCAGTAAAACTCTAGGTAGACAATTACCATTTGTCCTGTACTGCTCTGCAGGGAATAAGGGAGTTTGAGTACACTCCAAGAGTCTGAAAAAAATCTCAGGCGGCTGGATTTAAATGTGAACACTATCAATTCCTGCAAATTTAAGAAAAATTCCCAACAGACACAATGGAATCACAATCCTCTACCCTCATACCCATAATAACCATATTTATTTTGGTCATCTAACACAGGCCACAGCCCGTATTTGCTCCTAAACTATTCTTCCAGGTGTATGGATAATCTCCCTGCACTTCAGGAAATGCAGCCACCCATATAATTTCTGCTTTTTCTTCCCTGCCTGTCCCTCCTCATTGTTGCACCAGGCTTGAGGATGGTTCTGCACCAAGTGTCCATAGAAGCTCTGTTAGGACACTGCTGCTGCACTCAACCTGCACCCCCTTCTGCTTTCTCAAACACTTGCAAAAATCCCCAGGATTTTATTTTTGATGTGCACAGCCCTTGCAGAAATAGAAAGAGATCCTTAACATCATCTCTAAGAGACCATTCCCCTGAAAGTTGTAAAATCAAGAGGAGCTTTCAAGAAGGCTGAAGGACTGGTTTTGTAACAGCCAACTGTTTGGGAAGCAGAGATGCGGAATAGG